ACAACCACTGTTCTAACAGCAGCATGCTCAAGCCATCTGTCATGGCATTCCTTGGAAAGGGAAAAGGGAGTAATTTCACCGACAGTCTCTACATATTTCAGCTATTCCAACCCCTTCTATTCAACACTAAACTCTAACKGTTAAGACAAATAATGCCTATTTCTCAGTACTACACTGCTGTTAGGGAGTTTTTTTCCTGACTTTTTGGTAACATTAACAATCACAAAAAGATAACAGTAAGAGGTATGTTTTTTTCCAAAAAATCTCTAGTATAAGATTATTTCCTAGTGAGCCTTGCATGTTTATTAAAGCACATTTACCCATTTGCCAGAACATGGGTTTAGTCTTGCCTAATTTGTGCAGGCAGATTGGTGCACCAAAACACAGCACAACTGCTCCAGTGATCTGCTTCCACATTGGACTTCAGATTAGGATCCAAAACCTAACAGGTCACTGTTCTGCTTGGCTAGAGACTCTGCACTGACTATAATCCAAGCGTTGGATTATAAGAGCTTGAAATTCTAGTGATATCTTATACATAAAGCAGAACTTGGGTGTTTTAAGCTATTACCTGCATGGCCCTCTACATGAAGAAAAAGAAAGTATATTCAAGACTCAAACACCAATGTATTTARGACACTATTTAGACCACCACTGCCAAAAAACAGTAGTTAACCCAGCTGAGGTCATTTATATGTCAATGGATGGGAAAGATTAGAAGCTACTATTGCTCAGTGAAAAAAACACAGTACCAATAGACCCCTTAATTCCCACTACTGGCTTTGATAAAAACAGTTCAGTTAGTTCCAACTTCTAACCTGCAGCTTCTAATATCTCGCTGTTAAGACCCAAATGGAGACAAGCTATGTTATACCAATTATTCCTTAGCTATSCTCAGTATCAAATCCATTATTCAAGCAATTTTATCTTCATGCCAAAGGAAGGGTCTAAATTGCTAGATACTGCTGTTTATTTCCTCCTGTACTGGACACACAAAAGAAACCCAGTTCAACTTCATTTATTTTCAACTAGTAAGACAAAAAATAAAAAGCCCTCTGGCTTGTAGAAATACCTTTTGAAGTTATTTGCAAAAAGCAGATGGTATCAGAAGATATCCAATTTTTAGCAAGTAGCTACACAAGTAATAAGGAGTTATCACATCTGAAGTCAGAATCTACGTTTCCAACTAATCTTTCTTTCCAACTAATCCTTTTTAGGTAATTGCATCTAAAAGATGTTTTAGAAACTATACCCTCTCTTCTAATCATTTAAASCCAGGTCCCAATATTTTTAGTAAAGACTCAACTTTTGGAGACTTTCAAACCTCGCCTGGATGCCGCCCTGTGCCCCGTGCTCTGGGTGTCCCTGCTGGAGCAGGAGGTKGGRCTGGATGATCTCTAGGGGTCCCTTCCAACCTCAGCCATTCTGCGAGTCTGTGAACTAGCTTTGGGATGGATAACCATTCAAACAGCGTATCATACCTTGACATTTATTCCAGCCTTTGGCCCAATAACCAGCACCAGACCAGCTTCCCATGATGTTCCTTGTCTTCGCAGTGTAAGTCTTGGAAAAGTCCTGCTTAATCCCACCACACTTGAAATCAAAAGTTCCCAACTTTTGCAGCACCCCATTGCTAAGTGAACAAGTCTCTCCTAACTACACTTCTCCCACGGGGAGGCAGAGGCTCAAGCTAGCAGATGGTATCAGCTCTGAAGCTTGATTTCAAAAGGTTTGACATTTTGCTACCACTACTGTAACTAAAAACGTAGCTACTGGAACCTGAAAAGAAAACRCACACGGACAGAAGCATTTTCGTCACAACATCCTCAAAGAATGTGGCCTCTGGACTGATCTATCCGGATCACCTGAGCTGGCAGTCACAGGCTTCACTCCAGAAGTCAGGCTGTTCACACAACRAACAGCTGTAGATACTGCCGGTCATTCACAGAGACACTAATCAAACTATTTCCCAATGCCAGCACCCAAGGAAGCACCAATGCCAAAGAATGTGGTGAACATAAGCTAGATTTTTTGGTCTAATCAAACAGATGTTGCTATAGTACAACCACCATATTTTAAGTGCACAGAAGCAAACTCCAATGTTACCATTTTAACACATCTATCAATTATCATTATGAACTGTAAGAGGTACAGTTTAATAAATTAATAAATTAATTTACTAAACTGGATAAATTAATGCATTTCTGAATAAATTAATGCATTTCTGAAACACCAGCTTGAATTTTTTCTTATGAACTACCACATATTAAAGACCCTACGTGGTTGTTAAAGCTAAAGTTAACACTGCAGATTGAAGCTCATTTTCACAGTTTTCACCACATATGCCTTTCCTAAGATCAGGAATTTCTCTTTCTGTAATTCTCTCCCTATGTTCCTCTGCTTGTCTTTGCTTCCTACTTTCAGATTTTCCATATTCTCTAGTTCATAGGAGCATCCCTACAACAAATACAAAGCCATCTAGACCTACTGCAGAGATCAGTCGTTTAAGTTCATTATGGACTTGTGAAAGACCATTTAATAACATTTTGGTATATTTTCAAAATGATTTCATGACTGCAAAGAAGGCTACATAGTGCTGCTAAACAAAACACCCATTTATCCCAAGAGGTACCCTACCCACAAGGAATACAAGTGCCCATTAACATGTTGCGGAGTTTCACTAGAGGGCTGACACATCACACAGAATAGTTGGTATTCACATCCACTTAACCCTTGGCTTCCAGGAGGAGCCAAGTTTATCCGGATGCCTGACACCCATCTGCCAGGCTCTCACTTCACAGCCCACTGAGCGCTCACAAGCCACTATTCTCTCCCACTTGGGGCTACTGGATGAAGTGCAGACCAAGYGCACCCACTCACCCTTCATCCACCTCGGAAAGGAGCATCTGGAAGAGGAACTTGGTAGAGCATTTGGCCCCTTTGTGTCAGAAAAGAACAATTTCAAGCCCTCGCTCTACCTATCCTACTTATATGACCTGAGCAGGTCAGGTAGAACCACAAAAGTACACAAAATAGCACTGCCAAAGTCCAGACTCCACTGCTGAAGCTCTCAGCTATCACTTAACTCTGAAAATACTTAGGTTCTCAAACTTCCAGATTCCAGGAATCATGCTTTTCATTTTTAAGTGCTGAACACCTCAACACCTATACTCACAAGTGCCACCACATATAAAACATACATTTTCCCCTTCTCAGCTTATCTGAGGACCCCTTTCAGTAAAGAGCACAGATTTTCAATTGTCTTGCTGCCTTCCAGACTCACACAAGCTCTCTCAACCTGCAGTGGTACCCCCAATCTCTTTCCCTGTAGGAACTGCYGCAAGGACTAAGCTGTCCTCTACGGAGTGAACATACACAAGCATGACTACACCTCCTTTTTACATTAGTCAAAGGAAGCACAAATCAAATTGCCTTCCTATCCTTGCTACAATGATAAATTTCTCTCCAGAGGGACCTGGACAGGCTGGAGAGTTGGGCAGAGAGGAACCTCMTGAGGTTCAATAAGGACAAGTGCAGGGYCCTGCACCTGGGGAGGAATAACCCCAGGCACCAGTACAGATTAGGGGTGGACCTGCTGGAGAGCAGCTCCACAGAGAGGGACCTGGGAGTCCTGGTTGACACCAAGTTAACCATGAGTGAGCAGTGTGTCCTCGTGGCCAAGAAGGCCAATGGGATCCTGGCTGCATCAGGAGGAGTGTTGCCAGCAGGTCAAGGGAGGTGATTCTGCCCCTCTCCTCAGCTCTGGTGAGGCCGCACCTGGAGTACTGGGGGCAGTTCTGGGCTCCCCAGTATAGGAGRGACGTGGAGCTTCTSGAGAGGGTCCAGAGAAGRGCAACCAGGATGATTAAGGGAATGGAACATCTCTCGTAYGARGAGAGGCTGAGTGAGCTGGGCCTGTTTTCTCTGGAGAAGAGACGGCTCAGAGGGGATATGATTAATATGTATAAGYTCAGGAAGGGAGAATGCARGGAGGAAGGGGACAGGCTGTTCTCACTGGTGGCCAGCGACAGGACGAGGGGTAATGGCCACAAGCTGAAGCACARGAAGTTCCGTCTCCAGGTGAGGAGSAACTTCTTTACTGTTAGGGTGACAGAGCAGTGGAACAGGCTGCCCAGGGRGGTTGTGGAGTCTCCTACTCTGGAGGTCTTCAAAACCCGCCTGGATGCCACCCTGTGCCACATGCTCTAGGTGTGCCTGCTTGAGCAGGAAGGTTSGACTAGATGATCTGTAGAGGTCGCTTCCAACCTTGAATATTCTGTGAATTCTGTGAATCTGTGAATTTCAACTRTTCTTAAAACACAAACTAGACAGGAGACTCCAGATCTGAAAGTTATAGAGTAGGACTGGGCCTTTGTTAAGTAGCTCATCCAGAGAGCCATTTTACCCCCTCCTGAAGCCATCCCAATATCTCTGGGGAAGGGAGCTCCTCCAGCAGGCCTGCTCAGCACACATGGTGGGATTACGTGGGGCAGGCATTGGAGGGACTTGAGTCAACTTCTCTGTCTCCCAGAATCCCATYTTAGCACAAAATCCCATGGAAGCCAAGCAATATTATACCCACAGCTATAAATGTTAACCAGTTTATWGGTCTGCAAACCCAGCAGGAAATCCACTTCTATTTTCTTCATATCTATATGAAAGTATGGAATATGTTACTGCTTGTGCCAAAAAATACAGTTTCACTGCCATTTACTTGGTGAAAGGAGCAATATATCAATTATATCTCTATTGTCTCATTTAATCTAGAGAAAGAAGGAAACACAATAACAAGTTTCTATGGGCAAAATAGAGAAGTGTTCACACAAAAAAACACACTGTATGTTTCACTAGTCCATCCATGGCATCTCCTCTCCCTTCACAGAAAAGGAGATTAACTTCAAAATCATCATTATGGTAAACAAACCTGCGTAACATTTAAGTCTCATTGAATTACCAAGTCCCATCTACGATTAGCATTCAAATAAGCGAGCTGTACTTACAGCATTGGCATCAACATCACTGTGTATGGCAACTGTTTTAATTCCCATCTTCTTGCATGTTTTGATGACCTGCCATATGAGAAGTGACAATTATTGATATTTAAGTTATCCACAGGATAAGAACAAAAGAAACACTCAGAAGATTATATACTTACTCTGCATGCAATCTCCCCTCTGTTGGCAACAAGCAGCTTTTCAAAAGTCTGAAGGGAAAAGAAAAAACARCAAGTAGCTTGAAGCATGAGCAAACCATATTCTTTCCCTTCAGAAAGAGGCATTTTCACTAAAACATTGGTGTACTCTGAAACACCCTGTTAAAAATTCCTGCTGAGTCAGCAGTGATATAGTATAAGCAGTACGCTATGGTTATCTACCTGCCAGGTACATAGGTTCAAAACACAAAAAGGTCTCGACTACTGACCCCTGCATTCCCTGAATCTCCTTCCTGTGCTCAGTGCAGGAACCAGAACTCTGTAGAGGTTGAGAGAGCGCCAAGTTCAGGGAAAAGACCCTCATGAGCACTGCCAAACACATGGCAATGCCCTCAACATGCAGGTTGTGACTGTTCTCCCGTTGCAGTGTCCCAGGGTGAACTCCCAAGCCTGCTTTGGAGAAAAGCCTATATAAACTAAAACTAGATTATTTTAGCTCTAGTTGGTGGCAGGTACCTGTCGGTCAAGTGCCTCCAACCAGCAGAGATAATCTGCAGCATTACACTATCCTGGGATACTTAAATGACATGCAAGTCACAGGAAGGAGAGGTTTCTCTCTGCCTGGGTCATAGGGAGGACTTCTACTCCATAGAGACACTCTTGCTGAACAGTACTAAAGTGCCCCTCTTGATGGCCAAGTCTCACCTGAGGAACCTGCCAAGCTGCTGGCTGCCCCCACATCACTGCTACCCCCTCAGCATGAAGTAGCAGCTAGAGCGCAACTAGACAGTCTAGCAAGTCAAACCTGGGCCACGGTTAACCTGCTGTCTGCCAAAACACCCCGGCCCTGCTCCACAGAGCTGCTCTCCAGCAGGACAGACCCAGCCTGTCCTGGGGCCCAGGGTGATTCCTCCCTAGGTGCAGGACCCTGCACGGGAACTTTATGAACTTCAGGGGCAGCCTGCAGCTGAACCAAATTAGGTTTATCATATTATACCTTAAGACATTCAATAGCTATTCTCCCTCCCCACATTATATGTTTTCCATGTGCTTTTTTTTTTTTTTTCCTCTCTTTTGGGGGGCGGGGGGAGGAGGCACTGGTATTGCAACAACAACTATAAAAACTGCTACCCTATGGCCACAAAAGCAGAGAAAGGAACCATAAACACCACTGCAGCAACTGCATAGGCAAGTTAGGGCACTATTGTGGCTTCCTCACAGATTCCAAGTAGATGCACCCATGACCAAAAAGCATTTTACTACTTTAGTCAGGCCTGAGCTGGCATCACACAGCCCTGTGGTAACCCCATTCAGAAATGACATGATAACTCTTCTAGGATTCATCATGTAATTTATTTGCAATTTCTTATCATGTAATTTATTGCTACAGCAAGCCCTTAGGTAAGTTCAGCCAACTCTGCTGAGGAAGGCACACAAGTACCTAGTGCATAGGCACACCCACGTCCCACTCCAAAGCTGGAATCCAGATAACTGAACTTGCTCAAGGATATCTGAGGTACAAACCATTTATTTGGAAAGCTTTCTTAACTGGGAACCTGGTCCAAAATACACTGAAATAGCTTTCAACATGCTCAAACATTTCCAAGTCTAAATTTCAGCATTCTAAGCACTTGAAGGTTTTAGACACAGAGATTTACCATAATACTTGGCATTTAAAAGTTTAACTCTTTAAATACTTAATCTACTTAGCTTCTTTGCAATGTAAGAGCTCCATTGACCGAGCACAAATTGCAGAATCAGTATGAATGTGTAGAGATTCTCATTTTATTTTCCCATTCTGCAGTAAAACATTAACAGAAAGAGACTGGACTTGTGTTCCCTCTCTTAAAAATGACAGGCCTGAAGTCTAGAAAGAAAAATATCGTGTTCTGCTTTCGGGCCATATGCAACATTTCAATATGTCATTTCCACTAACTAAGGAAGCTCTGTATGAGAGTCTGATCATTAGAGAAACAGCAGAGGGGAAGCAAAGGACGAACGCAGGGAAGAGTTTGAACGATCTATTAGCCACTGCCCAGAATGCAATTACTTCCAATAAACAGAAAACGGGTAAAAGACCCAATTTCACTACCTAAAAACTGCGCCTTTAAGAAAAGAATAGAGCCTAGATCCAGTAAAGATCTTAAGTCTGAAGGAAGCATTTAGAGAAGTCCAAAAAATCTCATTGTTAAACCTAGCTTAACAATACCTAGCTTAACAAGATTCTAGGTACATACTGTTTTTCCTCTCCGTTTTCTAACACCATGTCACTCCCAGTTCATTTTCTTACACTGGTATATATAGGTAAGCATAACAGTCCTAAAGTACCTTTCTTGCCCTTTTATAGTCGAGTACCTCCAGCCACACTTTYTCCAATAACGTTACTTGAGGGGCCAGGCCAAGACAACCTCAAAGCAGCAAAGCATTTCTTGGCTAGGAAGCTGTAAGCTGAGATGGCTACTGCACGAGTCAGAGAACGCCAAGAAAACAGCACCCTCGAAGAGGAGGGATGGCTGCTCTCTCCACAGATCCTAAAAGCCTCATCTTTATCCAAGCCCCATCTTTATCCAAGCTCTCCCCCACAAGAGCATAAGTGAAATCAGATTTGGACAAGGCGTATTACCTCACCTAGCAATCATGCTGCCACTACTGCATCACCAGTTTTAGGAAAGCCTTTGGCCAGTATAGCTTCCAGATGCTTCAATATRCCTATAGCTCCTATACCGTGCAACAGATTAAGAATAGTTGTTTTAAAATTACAACTTGTTGACATTAGCATGAAACTTTCCTAAACTGACAATCTTTATTATTTTAAGATACATATTTAAAGCAYTACCTAATCTTAGCAAACATACTGCAAGATAAACATTTTTAGCTTTCAAAAATATCAGAAAAACATACCACTAAAACCGTGGCTGTACAGCGATTATACTAGGAAAACTACGGGTGTCAGCAGCACAGGGAAGAATGTAAATAGCTTTAGAAGTCGGAAATCAATGGAACAGTAACACGATAGAGAARAAACAATATACACAACACCACTTACCTTTTCATTTGGATCATGCACAACTGAATATAGTTGACGTGAAGTCACAAGGCACCGTCTTGAACAGAGCATTTTGCACTGTAGAAGAAAGGAATAAACATTTTTTCCTCCTCCTACTGTATTCCATCAAAACAAGCATTCCACACACTGACATCTTTAGGAAATTCTTCCATAACCCTCCGTGCCCATCTTTCCTTTTCCCCTCCATACCCCAGAGGACGAAAGGATCTGCACAMATCCACTGAACAGTAACATCTGGAGTTTCTAAACTGCCCAGAAAATCACTAACTTCAAAACACTTTGAACAATGACCTCTTCATTCTTTCCATGTAATCCCAAGAAACACTTAATCACCAAGTTCTCAAAAGAGCATGCATGACAGTGTGCACACCAGGGAGAGGGAAAGRCCCTTACTGCTGGAGATGGAGCACATCATGCACCATGCACAGCACAGAGTAGGAGCAAAACAGGCTGCATGTGCCAGTTCTGCACCACAATCCCACAATGATACCGACCTGAGGGAAAGATTCCACTTGAAAGCTACCTTAGCACAGATACATGGCTCAGAAGACTGTATTTGCTCTTCCAGGTGGAATGAAAACGACTTATCAAAAGACCAAGTTCTGTYTTATCTAGCAGCAGGCACAAAACAGCAGTTACAGGGAACTATGCARGCTCAGAACTGATCAACTACATCTGAAGTCAACATCACCGCAGTCTTCTAAAAGGGCAAGAGGGAGGAGCTGGGCAACTACAGGTCGGTCAGCCTCAGCTCCATCCCTGGAAAGGTGATGGAGGAGCTCATCCGAGAGAGCATCTCTAGACATGCGAAGGAGGAGGAGGAGATCAGGAGTAGTCAGCATGGATTCACCAAGGGGAAGTCACGTCTGACAAAGCTGATAGCTTTCTATGATGGGACAACTGGCCGGCTGGACAAGAGGAGAGCCGTGGATGTTGTCTACCTTGACTTCAGCAAGGCTTTTGACACCGTCTCCCACAACATCCTCATGGGGAAGCTCTGGAAATGAGGATTGGATGGGTGGACAGTGAGGTGGGTTGAGAGCTGGCTGGATGGCAGAGCTCAGAGGGTGGTGATAAATGGGGCCGAGTCCAGTTGGAGGCCTGTGGCCAGTGGTGTCCCCCAGGGGTCAGTACTGGGCCCGGTGCTGCTCAGCCTGTTCATCAATGACCTGGACGAGGGCACGGAATGCACCCTGAGCAAGTTTGCAGATGACACCAAGCTGGGTGGAGTGGCCGACACTCCGGAGGGCTGTGCTGCCATCCAGAGGGACCTGGGCAGGCTGGAGAGTTGGGCAGAGAGGAACCTCATGAGGTTCAATAAGGACAAGTGCAGGGTCCTGCACCTGGGGAGGAATAACCCCAGGCACCAGGACAGAGTAGGGCTCGACCTGCTGGAGAGCAGCTCCACGGAGCTGGGAGTCCTGGTTGACACCAAGTTCACCATGAGTCAGCAGTGTGCCCTCGTGGCCAAGGCGGCCAATGGGATCCTGGCTGCATGAGGAGCAGTGTTGGCAGCAGGTGGAGGGAGGGGATCCTGCCCCTCTCCTCAGCTCTGGTGAGGCCGCATCTGGAGTATTGGGTGCAGTTCTGGGCACCCCAGTATAAGAAGAACATGGAGAGGGTCCAGCGGAGGACAACGAAGTTGATTAAGGGTCTGGAGCATCTCTCATACAAGGAGAGACTTAGTGAGTTAGGGCTGTTGTCTCTGAAGAGAAGGTTGAGAAGGGATCTGATTAATATGTATAAATACATGAAGGGGGAATGTACAGAGGGTGGGGCCAAGCTCTTCTCAGTGGKGGCCAGTGACAGGAAAAGGAGTAACGGGTACAAATGGAACTGCCAGTGTTTCAACCTCCGTGTGAGGAGGAACTTCTTTCCTGTGAGGGTGCCAGAGCCCTGGCACAGGCTGCCCAGGGAGGTTGTGGAGTCTCCTYCTCTGCAGGTCTTCAAAATTCACCTGGATGCCACCCTGTGCTCTGGGTGTCCCTGTTGGAGCAGCGGACTTAGRCTAGATGATCTCTACAGGTCCCTTCCAACCTCAATGATTTCAGAGACCCTGAGAAAACTACAGAGGTTGCAGATACACTAAGCTTCTCATTTGTGTAAGTTAAAGTGTTTCTGGGAGCAAAGACCAAGAAGAGATGGACACTTACTCCACCAGAAATGAGACCAAGAATAGATAAAGTGTACAATTTATATAAATGATTACAGAATTCATGACCATCTTGTAAACCATGAGCATGCAAGGAGGAAGAGAGCAGTTAAGGACACACTTGTGCCAGGTGCAGTTACTGTGATGAGTTGGTCACTATCCCAAGGCTACAGCAGGACAGCGATTCCTTCAACAACCACACACAGACATAGGGGCAGTGAGAGTGTCCAAGAGTATCCCACTCCGGACAGCAGGGCATTAAGCAAAGCCCTTCTCAGTCCTTGAATACTGTGAAGCAGCTCACACAGAACAAGACAAAAGTCACCATTATCCTTTGGAGAGTGTTTTTGGAAGGTCAGTGAGGCTAACCTAAATATTAGCAGTCAGAAAGAAGGAAAGGGAGGCCTCAACTTTTTTATAAATGCCTTTTATACAAAGCTGTTTAGTTTTGAATGCACAGAAGAAACTGGTTTGTTTTTTTTTTAACAGAAAGCTACAGCTAACATTAGATTTCAGATTCTTAGGCAGGTTCTTTCTTAGAGAAAACCTGTAAAACTATGTGGAGAGCTGTCAAGCAATTAGAAGCATTAAACCGTATTCAGCTATCTTCTCACTCTATGAAATGCAGATTTCATGTAATTTTTTTWAAAAAAATACCTAATGCAGTTATGCATCCATATTAAAAACTTTACTTCTTCCTTCCCCAAGGTTAGAACCAGGTACAGAATCAGGTTCAGCTCTGTGCTGAATACAGGTGGGGCAGCTTACTGAGGTTCTGTACATTGCTTAACTTGCTCAGATATGAAATTTCTATCTCCAATTCACAATTCTAGTAAATTTTCCTTAAAAAAGTCTCTGCTAACATACACTAAGGTTTAAGAGCTTGCTTAAACTATAATCTGTCAAGAAAAGTCTCTGTTTAAGTCTGCTCCTGGTCACTATGGGCATTTGAATTTAAAATGAATTTAAAAGCCATCAAACTTTAAAGAATGCAAGGTAAATACCACCAAAGATCCAAGCAAAACTGCCATGCAGGACTGCTGTCCCTGCTGGAGCAGGGGGGTTGGACTAGATGATCTCTAGAGGTCCCTTCCAACCTCAACCAGTCTGTGATTCTGTGACTCTGTGATTCTGTGATTCTGTGATTGCTGCTCAGCTACCACCTCCCGCRCTTACAAGCTCTGTCTGTAGCTGGGTACATTAAAAACTGCACCAAACTGCAGAAACTACCACCAAACCAGGAACTCGACTGAGCCAACCTAACCCTCACTTCGGAATTTTCATTTGGCTGCTTCCCAAAGATACACAGCCTCAAGCTACACGTTGCACTAGGAAAAAAACTCAAAATAGAGCCTCGATCAGGAATTACCAGTCATTTAATAATGCAACTGAGATCTGCATAATTCCAAGATACCTTGATAGCTGATCAGGCGCCTACGTGCACTGTGTCCCTCTCCCAAGGGAGAGGAACATAATTGCATTGTATCTCTCCCAAGTTTGTGAGCCATGTGAAGAGCAAACCCCTCAACCCCTATAGATCTCAGCTGCTACTATGCAAAACATGCCAGATACCACAGCCACCTACACCTTTAATTGGGCTAATAGCTCACTGTTCCACCTTGCTTTGGAGGCTTAAATAGTATCTAAAATAGTACTCACGCTCCAAACAAAACGCTGTAGAGTAACAAAAGGGATAAAGACAGAACCTTTCCCCAAAGTCTRTGTCCAAAACTGCACTGTGGTGCTTGCAGTATTCTTCAGTGAAGAATTAGGTGGATTAAATCTCTGATAAGCACTCAGCCCCTGGAAGAAAGTCAGACACAACTTCACTGCKGACATTTGTCACTTCTGCAAGCAGCTTCCCAGCAAATGGTGRGCAAACCTTTCACACAGGAGCAGATGTAGATCACAGGAGACTTAACCAAGCTCACTTAACTTCCAAGGATATCTTCTCACAACACAGACTGAAAAAAATAGGAAAATCTCTTCCAGTGGTTTAACACCATGCTACATAACAATAAAATAAAAAACAATGAGCTCAAGTTATTTACCAATGGCTCACCATAGAGGCTTTAAAGTTTTGTCCCTCGTGAAGGGCAGTTTTCCTGCTTTACAGGTTACCTTGTAAATAGCTTCCTGGACAGAAGAGCATCTGGGTTGGAATGCAGAGTACCAGATTTTAGGGAGGGGAAGTACCCAATAACAATTACTTTAATAAAGTTAATCCTAGAAGGAAGGCATATTCTAGCACATTTTTTCTTCTGCTAGAGTTCCTACTACAATTTCTACCCCCAKGCTTTCATATCTAACTCAGTGCCTTAAGAAATCATTGGAATAGCTCCTTSACATTTGCAGGATATTTCTCATTAACCAGAAACATCTAAGCAATTTTAAACACTACAAAGCTTTAATAAYTGCAATATTCTGATTACACAGCAGCCTTTTTCAAAGGTTTTTCATTTCACCCTAACTTAACACCCTTGTTTCTGGGTACCTACAACTAGAGTACATACACCACGTATATAAAGAAACCGACATTTCCAGGTGTCTGCAAGAAATTTAATCTCTAATGCTGAGAACAGTAATCACTAACACAAGACAGCACAAATTTTGTGAGCAAGAGACCAACCTTCAATTCCTCTATTTTTCACTYATTAGTACTTTCTCCCTTTCTACACTCTTTCAGGGAGTTCTAGACAGCCAAGAACCAACWACGGACAAAATCATTTTCAAAAAAGAAGTAGTGAAGTGTTTTGTAAGCTACACTACACATACAACCCTTGCAGATCTAAGAATCACGTCAGTTCTAAGAGAAGAGGCCAGATTTCCCTGTTTGTCAACAGAGCTTGCACACAACATCCATCAACCTAAGGCTATATTTTCAAACCAAGTCATTCCAGCTCCCAGGGGTGCTCTCTCTTGCTGCAGTACAGAAGTTTATACAACAGCCACATGGTGAACCAGAGTAGGAAACACGTCCAGCTGCAAAGACACCCACAAGGAGTGGGGAAGTTCGGATTTCAGCCAGCTTAATTCCTCAGTCCTGCATCTAAACAAAGAAAAAAGGGTCTGTGCTGAAGAACCAGCACCTGCAGAAAGGTGGGACAAACACCCACAGCAGCAGCTCAGACAGCTCCAGTAAGGACAGAGCCTGGGGAACAAGTCAGGGCTTTACAGGAATGATACAAGAATTTACCAGGGCAAGTTTTGAATATAAAAACAAATAAGCAAATAGAAATTTACAAAGCATTTCAAGAATTACTCTATTATGTATTTTGCGTAGGTTTCAGCCAAGTTTCTTAATTCTTCTTTAGATTTCCCCACAATAGATGGTTTTGCTTGCAGAATCCAAGCAGCTACTCCTGGAAGCAAGGGAGCTCTGAAAGCCCAAATCTCTGACCATGATCTGTGTTAAGCATGCTTATCAGCGCTAATCTCCAGATTAAATATTAAAAACAATCCCTCAACTGCATTAGTGTAAGGCTACATTTATCTGCCTGAATTGGTGACCATTTTAACTCCCTTCACAAACGGCCAGCGCATTCAACCTTGCTCTCTCCTCCAGCCCCATGCAAAGGCAAAAGCACCTCCCCGGAACAGCAGTGCTAAAAATAACGCCATGCAGGAGACAGCAAGGAGCTCCCACTGYAGAGATCACCGCACAGAACCCATGCACATTAAAAGTTCAAAGAGCTAAGCATATTTGCCTATTTAAGCAAGATATTTATGCACTCTATGAAAGCCCTTACTATTCAAATCCAAATATTTTCTGTAAAAACAGTGTAATGAAGGTGAGTTTCACACACAAGGTGTATGTTTCATGCACAGTGGCAGAGATCAACACATTTGGACCTCTTTCTGGAAAGAGAAGACTTCCCCATGCACCTATGAGCTTATATGGCTACCAAGAATAAAGCTCTGGAACAGCCTGGTTCCTCTGCTAGTTCTGCCYCACCGCTCCAGCCATTCCCAAGCTCATTCCCACACACAGGCACAGTTTGAGCAGCTTCTCTCCCGCGCACCTTCGCGGCAGAACAGGTTTGCCACGCAAGTTCCCCGAAAGGAAACACCTCAGGGAACACCAAAGTCCAACCTAAGCCCTATGCAGGTGACCCACTGCGCCGCTCCCTGCCCCACATCCCTTGCACAGAATCCCAAGGACACCGAGCTCCTCCTGGCACAGCTCAGGGGCTGCAGTTACAGACAGAAACCGGCACTGGCCGGGGAGCACAGAGCAAACCAGCCCTGCCGGTGCCCTTTCCCGCAGGCAGGCCTCTCGCAAACGCTGCTTTCCAGGAACAGAGCTCAATGAAGCTCCTCCCGCTTTATTGAGCAGCTGGGTGTCTTCTGCACCCATCTCGCACACAAATCAGTGACTAACACCTTTAGGCCTTTTACACAAAACTCATTATAATCCTTATAATAATAATAATAGTCCTTATAATAATCATTATAAGGATAATGCTCCTTATTCTTTCCCTAACCAACCTTGCCCTTCTTTTAACACAGAGCAACCTGTAAGACAGAAGGGAAAAAAATGCAGGTTCCATTCAAGCTTAAAGCAACCACCTCAGCAATCTCATTCCAGGTTTAGGAATTACATTTTCTACAAACTTGAATACTTTTCCCCCAAAAAAAGTGGTTTTGTAGCGACCTTCCGCCCTTGCCACGGCAGCCAAGGACGGCGGCGCTGGACAATAACCCTTCCCGTGACAGCCGGGGCACCCGCAGGTACTCCCGCAGGTACTCCCGCAGGTACTCCCGCAGGTACTCCCGCAGGTACTCCCGCAGGTGCACCCGCAGGT